TCTAATATTCCACTCGAAAGTCATCTCAGTTGGCGACGAGGATGGGAATAAGTTCCTTTGCCCCTTATTTAAGAGAGGAAAACAGTGAACAAAATTTGTCAGCAAATACACATCAAACAGAACCATACAACCGTCCAAAGAGAAATATACACAAACCAAGCTGGTTGAAGAACTTTCAAACTTAAAAGGGAGGATGTTGTGAGAACAGTTTATTTCATAACACCTGTTAATTTCTATTAATTATTATCATATGTTTATTTGTTATTCTATGTTTGTAGAAAGGTAAATAAAGTGAGTTGAGTTTGAGTTATGACATAAAACAGTCCATTCACTTAATTCCTAGTAAAATAGTACAACAATATAATCAATGTTGTCTAACAGGTAACAATAGATTTAGAAAACAAATATTAATAATAAAAATAGGTAAAACAAATTTTATTAACAATGATAATCAATTAATGTTTAATATGTTTGTGTTGTATAAAAAAGGAACAATTATAACAATAACATCATAAGGCAAACATGTAGCAACATGGAACCACCTCAAACACAATGTCCTCAAACATGGCGGTGTTATGAGATGACTGTAGATTTTGAGTTTTCTTCCTCTTCTCCATGATCAATTGGGCCGTCAATCCAGGTAATGAATTCATTTATTTTCAATTCGGTTTCACAAGTGCTATTGTTTGTTGTGGGCAAATCAGTCGTCTTCTTGTTCTTACTTTTCTTCTGTGTATGAATCTTCTTAACTTTGTTGCAAAAATCTTTCTGCTTGATTATTTTTCGTTTTCGTCCGCTCTTTTCCTGGTACTTTGGCGTTGGATCGTGGCTCTTGATTTTAAAATAACTTTGGCAGTCTTGATGAACCGTAACACTTCTTTCTGGCTTTCTCTTGGTATTGTTGTGAATCTCTTGTTCCGTTGGACTGTAGTTCTTCTATGAGTTTTCCAAATTCCTTCTTTAAGATAGAATCTTAAGTCTCTAGGAAGGTACTTCATATGTTCTCCGCTGTATCGTCTTCAATGTATGTCATCCTGGGTATTGAGTAATGACCTAAGTTGAGATCGGATCCAATTTACATTTTTCTTTCTTTCCTCTCCTGATGTACCCTTCACTTAAGAAACATTCCGATTATACGCCTGTAAAACATGCAATGAGCACAACATCCTTTGCTTCACTTCTCCATGCACATTTTTCCATGCAGTGTATATAGCATCTATGTAGCACCATGTAACTCATAAAATATTTAGATACGATGGCACTTCCATGAGTCTGTTAAAAGGCTTCGAACATTGCCTCTTAGGCACAGTGAGGAATTCCTTCTCCGTATTCGTCGATAACCAGAGCAGTGGGCTCTTGCTGTTTGGCTATCTTATCTTTGTCAATATTGGATATGTTGACGTGCTGAACTTCCAGTTCATGGCCGTAATGGTTTTTGAAATATTTAACAAGCACTTTTGTTTCAGGTAGCTTATTTAGTTTATTACAATATGACATGTGCAGGTACGTCCAGTTTTCTTGATCCTTGGCTTTTAAAAGATCTTTGGCGTTATTTTTAAGATCATAACTATAGTCTGACCATCTCTGCAGCATATCATGATTGTGAACCATTCTTTGTCTGTTTATATTATTTTATTTGGCATAAACGTTCTGGACCTGTTTAATGTGTTTTTTTTTATATTTAAAATATTCAAAGTTTAAAGGCCAATGGAATATTCGCTACTTGTTGGCGTGAATGCCAAATGTACACTCAATAACTCGTCAGGCTCCTTAGAGTCGGTAATTGAAGACTCTTTTCCCCACACTTAAATATTTTCATCAAAATGGTCGTAAAATAAATTTACTTTGACCAAATCGTTCATCTCCAACAAACATGAAGGGCAGTGTTTCATCGATATCAAATACACTGTCTCGTGGTTATGGGATATTTAGTTTACCTTCCGAAAATGTTTTGAAGAATGCAGAGTTCTTGAATATTGTCGTGTCTGATTCTGTTCCATATGCTCCCACATCAATGTAATAAAACGTTTAGTTTCAATCACATATAGCAACTAAAATAATAAGGAAGAACTTCTAATAGTTTAACAACAGCGACGGCACCGAGGCAATGAGGGAAATTAGACCTTGCCATGAATACAGACGATGTATTTAACCAATAGTCAGTAGTAAGATCTGGAAAACAGTCTGATTTCAATCGGGTCCAAATGGCATCACATTCTTGTCGTACATTTATTGAAATTGTTGGCTAGGCAATTCTGTATTGAAAGTGCAAAACTTGCATGGTGTTACTACTTCCCAAATACCTTTAAATAAAAGGTAAATTATTATGTTTTACATTAGTACGTACATTGTCTACTTCCTATTTTCATTTCAGGGAAAAGTCTTAACAGTAGATGGAAGAGTCTTCGACCGAGAAATAAAAAACCCAACAACCCCTAAAAAGTGGGGGTGCTGCGTCTGGGAGGAAGCCATATATTTTCTTCCAACAACTTAGTACCTATTTTAGAACCTGTATGCTGCAGTACAGAATCCAATGTAGATGTTGAGCATGAGGATGATCAGGAAGCAGGCGAGCTACACCCAGAAAACGACCATGGCCACTTTATCAAAACGTCTGAAATAACTCAATGCCCTCAGCTACCTCGTAGTAAAATGAAGAGCACATTTCAAAAAAAAAAAAATCAATTACAAATTTGTTCTCCCAATAGTAAATGGTTTTATATATTTTTGCACTGTTAAGTTAACCCTTTCACCCCTGTCTTAACAAAAAATTATTGTTTTTAATATTCTTTTCTTGATTTTGCGATAAAATAAGTCTAATTAAGTAAAAATATTTTTTTCAAAATTTTATTTTAATATTTTAAGTGATTTTTTTTTTAGGTAGGCCTACTCTTGAGTACCGTCAGGCCTTTGGTGTTCCAAGCCTAATTTTTTACTTCGGTACTCTAAAGTACCGTCAGGTTTTTACATTGTCAATTAGGCCTGAGACACCTATCATGTAAATGAAGCAAAGGACACAAAACACATATTGTGCATAATAAAGGCAACTTTTAAGAACTATTCATGTTTTTCAAAGATATTTTGCTTATAGGAATAAAAGAACAACAATTATTTCATACCAAAAGTGTGTAATATTTGAAAATAAAAAATCTTTGTAACATGTAAACAAACTTATAATGAATCTCTTATTTACAATGAAACCCCATGATATTCAACAAAGCAGTTTTTTTTTTCATTGGTACAAAGGAAAACTTTGCAGTGTGAACACTTTGAGCGAGGCCGGGACTGAATCTTCTTTTTACTGCAGACTTCACACCTCCCACGGGTTTCAACGAACGTGGGCCAGTGTATTCCTCTATTTGTCTCTCTGACATTTTTGGGAACAGAAAACTCCTGCTTCCTTCTTTTTTTGTCCGGTTGGCCTGGGGAACTCGACGACCTCTTCTTTACACCACAATTTTTGTACGCTATCAGTCCCTGGGAAACGTTTCTGCGGAATTCAAGAACAGGTACCCTATCAAATAGTTGGCAGTAAATGGAATAGGCATTGACAAAAGTTATGTCTAAAAACCCCCAGAAAAGTCGGCGCCACCATTTCTTTGATTTTCTGTCCACCATATACAGAGACCTGAGGTTATCAGCCTTATCTACACCCCCCATAAATGTGTTGTAGTCTTTTACAACTTGAGGGCAAGGAATATTGTACTTAAGGATGTCTTCAAAGTGGTACTGTCCACGGTTGTTAATGTTCGGGGACTTTAATACTTTGACAATGTCTTTTATTTCCACATGTGAGACATCCTCTTTTTCAGGGAACACAAACAAATTAATGGTTGTTTTTTTTCAGAAATTTACAAAAAAAAAAACTCGTTACAAAAAATACTTCCATCGATTTCCTAATAACTTTGGTTATCATTTTGGCTTGTCGGTGATTTGAAGCCCATTTGTCTACTAATTTAAAATGCTCGTATATTTTTTTTTGTTTTTTTCCTTGTGAGCAGTTGGCATTTTCATTTTTTGTTTTTCTTCCTTTTCGGATACCGTTACCTTTTGTTTTTCGATGTATTCCTTGTAGACTATCTTTTTGTGTTTATTTTCTGGGTGACGAATTAATGGGGATGTTGTGCCTGTTAGAGTTTTGAGTAGGTTTTTGCCAATGTTGCACTTTGCATCCTTGGGGTTGATTCGGGTAAAGTACCGCCTGACTTTTAGGGTTAGGGCTTAATTTAGGCCTATTCGGAGCTGAAGACGTACTTGGCAGACCTATTGGCATAGGATCATCGATGGATTCCTCATCCATTTTGGTTGTTCACTTGATTAATAATAAACTAACTAACACAAGTTTTAAGTGGGCTAATATCACAGACTTTCATATTTGTCAGGGCAGTTGCGGATATGACGCCACAACTTTCTTTTATAGAAATATGCAAAACAATATTCACAAGTCAAGTAGTCAGTGTGGGTAAAATTTGCATTTGGCCTTCGCCGGTAAACTTTTAGGCAGCCGTCGTTGGCATCTAGTACACTACGATTATGAATGAAGTTGCCTTTGTTTCTTAGTTTTCTTATAACATCCAAGCGTTTCTTACTATTCTTTAAAGTGACATCAATTCACTTACTTCTTGCTTATCGAAGTGTTTTAGTTCAAGATGCTGTGGAAGTTTTGAAAAAAGTGTCATAGTTTGCAGTATAAGGAAGCTTGTTTTTTGTCGTAAACTCTCCGGCTGTCTATTTTTTAAATCACTAAGTACTTGGAATTCAATATTTTTTTGCAGTGAGAAACTTGTTTTCTTCAAAATTAAGGCCTCCACCAACAATCCAGTAGCCAGTGCTAGATGGAACGTACAAAACATGAGTACACTTTCCATACAGACGTATCAGTGTTTCAATCACAGCATCTACGGCCAAGTCCGTCAAAGGACTTATGGTCCTCGTCGGATAACTGCAACCCAAGTGGGCCAAATGCAAATAATTGAGATGATGGCAACTTAACTGAGCATTTAGTGGCATGACGTCATGTAACGTTGGGATAGGATGTAGGTTGTCAGGGGAGGTATCATGTGGGGCGGCGACAGGTGAGGCGGTAGCTGGTAAGGTGTTGGGATCAGTGACAGCAGGTGAGGCGGTAGCGGGTAAGGTTGATGAATCAATGACAGCAGGTAAGGCGGTAGCGGGTAAGGTTGATGGGTTATTGACAGCAGGTGAGGCGGTAGCGGGTAAGATTGATGGGTCATTGACAGCAGGTGAGGCGGTAGCGGGTAAGATTGATGGATCATTGGCAGCAGGTGAGGTGGTAGCGGGTAAGGTTGATGGGTCATTGACAGCAGGTGAGGTGGTAGCGGGTAAGGTTGATGGATCATTGGCAGAAGGTGAGGTGGTAGCGGGTAAGGTTGATGGATTAGTGCCAGCAGGTGAGGTGATGGCAACATGTTGGGGATTTGAAAGAAAGCATATAGGAACAACATCAAGTACGGTGGTATTGAAATATGTCTTAACCTTTTGTTGTCTCTTAACCCACATTTATATAGCATTTGGATCGTCCTCCGTCGTTACGAGCCTTTTAATGACATAAATAAATAAATAAAAAGGTCTTTATAAGCAAGCGTTTTTCAGAAGAATACATTATGTGTTTTCAAAAAACTCTTGTCCTTAATCCTAATAAACTATACATATCAAACAAACTATAAAACAATCTATATAGATAATCTATGAAAACTATGTAAAAACAATCCATACTAACAATCTATGAAAACAATTTCTAAAAACAATTTTGACAAACATTACTTTAACATGACCAGAATTTTCGATACAAAAATTAACAATAATTTACATTCAAAAACATAAAAAAAACATATATTTACTTGAAATACTAAATCATTTGTTACATAAATATTCTTTCAAATGTTTTTTAAATGTGTTCAGAGTGTCGGCCCCCTTTACCTGATTAGGGAGAGCATTATACGAGGTGGGGCCAAAGTATGAGAAGGCGCGCCTCCCCACCTCATGCATGTATCTACAGCATATATGCATATATATAAAAGCATATACAAAGCATATGTCCTCTGACATCGATCTTGTTTGGCCGTTGTCGCTTCCGGGCTTTGGTTGGGCGATTGCAGGCGGACTTAAAAAATGTGCAATTCCTTGCAGATGGAAGAATCTTATATTTCAACCTTTTTACAAACCTTCTTATTTTAGATTAGTTTGTTGTTCTAAACCACTTTCCTTTACATGTCGAAGATGGTTCGCTAAATTTGCTGAATCTACAATTGGGGTTTCTGTCGATGTCTGAATGCCTGATTACAAAGCTTGGTCATAATGAAGAGTAGGGCATGTACCTATTCAAAATTAATTTGGAAAAGGTTAGGCAGTACAGGCTGTTCTTTTCAGTGTTGTCGGATCTTTCACTACTATTAGAATTCATTACATCTCTTTCAATTGACATTCCAACATCGTAAAACGGACTTTTTCTATACAGAGGAAAACTTTCTTTGGTAAAGAAGCTGTAATTGTAGGGAATGTCATCTGAAACAACACATGTTTCAGCAGAGCTATCAATCAATGCAATTTAATCCAAAACACTTTCATTTAAGTTTTAATATAAACAGACAGTTAATAGATGTTTCAGCTTTCATTTAAATGGTTCAAAGTCAGTACAGTTAAAAAGGACTGCAATAGCTTGCAAAATGAAAATTTTTAGCGGTCCATCGATGCTTTATCTTTTTTTATGGCTTTAGACACCATCTAGTTTGAATATAAACAGACAGTTAATAGATGTTTCAGCTTACGTTTAAATGGTTCATAATCAGTACAGTTAAAAAGGACTGCAATAGCTTGCAAAATGAAAATTTTTAGCGGTCCATCGATGCTTTATCTTTTTCAGTGCTCTAGACACCATGTGCATAAAATGACTGCAGCAAAGATGTGCAATTGCGGGTTTAACGTTTCTTCTTTGTTTCGTTGCAAAAGTGAACATTCTATTCGTGTAACCCATGCAGCACAAATATGTTTATAATACATATTTTATACTTTTATCCAAAGCATATAACCTATATAAAATATGTATATCAAAGTAAATAATACGTATTATATCTGTAAATATGTCCGGCCTTCATATCGATACTATACATATTTACAATGTATAAAAATATGTATTTTTTACCATCATTGAATCTATATGAATATAATATATATAAAATGCAGATAGAGTGTGTATAATTTATGTATATATATTGAACAGATTTCTTGCCTGAGTAGCTTCACTGAAAATGCACTCTTTATTTTCATTTTTGATGTTAGCCTCCGGATTACGTTGAATATATAAATTGGTTTAAATACCTGCTTCTAGTAATCCAATAGTCGCAATTTTTCGTCACGCAACTAGTTTCGACTTCATACAGAAGTCATCATCAGGCGTCCAGTTGATGTCAAAATAATCACTTCATCTGAAGGTCGTCGATTCACACATGGTACATTCACACGCAAACACGCACACGAACACGAACATAGTCACATAAAAAAGGTACATTTACAACGATAATACGGATTAATGGTAACTTAGGATGATGCGTCGCGACCGGGTGAATGTAGCGTCTAGACTGCCGGTCAACGTGTTCGGTCGGCGCTGTGACGTCACTCCTTTGTTCTTGTTATCAGTCAGTTGTCCCTATTCATTCCCGACTCTCTCTCAAGTACCTTAATTGCCGTGTCGTAAATATAATTAGATTGGAAAGATAGTTTATCATTTAGAATATTTTGTTTGTCAAATTTTACAGCTCTGTTTATTTCAAATTCTTTCAGTGTATCTTTGTTGAAATGGTCGTTGGATAAATGCAATACGGTCATGTTTCTGTCAATATTTGTGTGGTTATGATTATCAGAAACTAAATGTTCGGCAAAGGTTGAGGTTTGAGCGGATGTTGTTTTCCTTGGAAGATGTTCTTTAAATCTCTTCTTGAAAGAACGAGCTGTCTGCCTTATAGTAACTTATAAATGAAACAATGATGAAAAGTCAAGAAAAAACTATTTAATTGTCCATCTGCAGTAGGCCTAAATTTTTATTTTTTACATAGATCCTTGTTCCTGCTTGGCGGAACCATTCACTTGTTTTTTCTCAAACGTTTTCATGTCGAATGAGGACGGATGGTTTTGACGAACTACACCTGAAACTAAATTCACATTTGTGTCAATGTCTGTATTCCTGTGTATAAGCAGGTAATATTAGGGCACGTACAAGATTCATGCAATCTTTTGGTTATCAATCCTTTGTTTTCTTGATGGCAAAACCTGGAATTCATTTTCAAGCAAAATAATTTCTTTTTGAGCTAAACTAACTAGCAACCAAGCAATCAAAGTATTGAAGAGGTTTAAACAGTACAGTGCTGGAAAAAAAGGATAGGTACGGTACAATCTACAAACAAATTTGTGTGTAACATTACAATTAATATCATATAGCATATAATAATTTTATAAGATGATTAATTAATGTAATTAAAATCCCCTCTTAAGCCCCCTTCACCTTTTTATTGACTAATAATTGATATGTAACTTTACGCCATACTGCTAAAAATGTATGCAAACAATAACAGGTTTCTCCACAATGGCATTCTCAAGTGGGGATATGAAGTAAATGTAGGCCACTGTATGACGTAAATGTACATACCAATTATTAGTTAATTTAAAAAACGTATGATGGTAACAACAAGGTTTAATAATAAATAAATAGCAAATATATCATTGACAGAATAAATAAAAGTAACATTATAAACCAATAATGTTAAAAACTTACGGCCAATCAACTGCACTAATGCAGTATTCTGGAGACTCCTCTTTTTCCTCTTCTTCCCTCCCAGCTAAAGACCCTTGCCAATCCGTTTTTAAACAGTCTAATGAGGATCCGCCGCGTTGAGTCCTCAACACTTGCCCCGCCAACCGTGCTCCCGCTATCTCCGCGTTCCGCCACCTCCGAACCCAAATCTGTCCCGCCACCTCCGAATTCTTGAGTGACCCTTATAATACCGTCATTTCCTGCGTTGGTAGCTATCATTGCATCCACGGCTGCAAATCCCCGTGGATGGAAGATTTAATGAAAATTTAACCCGTGGGTTAGGTTAGGTTAGGTTAGGACGGAAAGTCTTAACGCATGTAGTAACCGAGGATTATAGGGGTCACTCTGAAATTCGGAGGTGGCGGGACGCGGAGATAGCGGGAGGTAACCGCCCGGCCAACCGTGCGAAGATAATTGCCCTGAAACATAAACTCTTTATCCGCTATTAGTATTATATCAGTTTAACAAGTCTGGTGTGTTGTAAAAAGTTTTTTTGTTCAAAATATGTTATAATTTTCAACAAGGATTGCAGAAAGTTTAAGTTTATAAGTATTTGGGCCCAGCATTTAGTGTGACTTAAAACATTGTCACGTGTAAGTTTATCATTAGACGATCCCTGCACAACAGTAAAGATGTAAAAGTACAACTGGCGTGAATAATATGCTTTTTGGTCGGGAACTTTTGGCAATACTTGGCTTTTCTGGCAGTTATAAAACAACACTATTGTATCATCTGAACCTTCATCTAACATGTGAAAAAAATGCTTTGGAACGAAGGGTATGAAATCTTTTTTGAGTCATAATACGTACTTTCTCTCCATCTTTAGCAATCTTTAATTTTTCTTAAAGCTTAATGCAAGTGGAACAAGCATCTACAGCCGGAGCACCAAAACCAATATTGTAATGTAAATTCACATATATTCCGAAGAATGATTTCTTTGTCTTCAATGATGTGTCCTCACAACTTAAATTATACACCAAAACCAATATTATAATGTAAATTCTAATTTTTTACGAAGAATGATTTCTTTGTCGGATGAACCCACTTTTCCTTTTTGATAATGAGTACAAAAGTACAACCTCGTCGTCACCAACATCACTACTTGAATCAAGCCACGGAACAGAAAATCCGTGTTGACACCATGGGACAGAAGGCTCAGACATTTTGCACACCTCCACTGAGTTGAAAGAGGAAGTATGTTTAATCTATGATTGTAGTAGGAATGGCCAACTTCCCTATGCGCATGCGCGAATGAGTGGACCGTAGCTCACAATGTGAAGGGGGCGCGTAGCATTCATCCGAATCAATTCATCCGTCCGCGGACGAAATTATCGTCCGCGGACGCCAGTGTGAAACCGCCTTTAAGATTGTTTTGATCTTGTGACCCCACCCCTGTTCTCCTTGATTGCTTTGCCTTGTAAATGTTTCTTACAAACATTTTCTACTCTGGATTTTTAAGGCCTAAAAGAGACAAAAAAAGTTTTTTGGCACACTGGAACTTTGTCTGGGACACCAAGCTGATGAGTTGCCTTTTTTACAAAATAGGTAATCGTCATTCCTTTTCTGAAACTGTTCTCGATTTTTAGTCGACTTCTACGTGGT